CCGTGGTCGACCCTGGCTGCTGCTCGACCACGGCCACCTCCGCAGCCGAGTGCCCGGGCGGCGGGGACCTAAGTCGGTTGCGAGAGTGTCTAAAGCAGCTGCTTGCAGACCACGACCGCATTTTACTTTCGCAAGTGCGCGTCATGCTCCTCTCCCAGTACCAGTTGGCGTTGAAGCCTGCGGACTACGGCTACTCCAAACTGAGCAGCCTGCTCGTCGACCGCTTCTCCGACATCTGCCGCTTGGTCCGCCACCGCAACCGCCACGTCTACCTCGAGGCGGGCACCTCGCTGCTCGCCGAGGCAGCACCGCGCGCGTGTCCCTCGCTCTACTTCGCGGCGCAGCGCGCAGCCAACCTGCGATCGCTGCTCGCCGCAGGCAAACCCTTTTCGGACACTCTTGACATGTACGCGCTGGATATCAGGCACGACCCACTCTCGTAAGCCACACACCAGACGTGTGGACCGACGCGTGAGGGCCCCGCACGTCTGTCCACCGCGTGGGCTACGTGTGCCGATTGTGTGGGTAGCACACAACCGTGGGCTGCCTGGATTGCTAACGGTCGGGGTAGCTGGCCGAGACCGCACACTCCGACTGAGTGGCTGTTCCTGCAGGAAGAGCCAAGGCCTGGAGTGGACGCCGAGGGACGTGCGTCTCATCGAGGAGGTCGTGCGGGGCAGCAGGGATAGATTCTTTGGGTGCGGGTAGACTTAATTTTTTTAAGAGCCAGCGGGGGAGAGGCGATGATTTGCTATACCTTGGAAGATCTCTATAAGCTGCGGAACGCTCCTCTCTCTCAGGCGCCGCTGCCTGAGTCTTCGCTGCTGCACTCCATCCAGCAGCAAAGGTAAGTGGGTCGAAGGGTGTTTGACATGTGTTTTGCAGTGCGAAGATGAACAGCCGCTGGGGCAACAGCCGGCGCCACGAGACGCCGAGTGTGAAGCCGGCCAAGGCGGAGGTCTCGCCGGACCCGCCGGGGCCGCCCGAGCAGCCGGTTGCGGAGCCGCCGTCGGTGCCCGGCGGCGTGGCTCACGAGCGTGTGACTCAGGAGCGAGCGACTCACGAGCGTGCAACTCACGAGCGTGCGACTCACGACCGAGCCAGTCACGAACGTGCAACTCACGAACGTGCAACTCACGAGCGTGCGACTAATGAGCGTGCGACTAACGAACGTGCGACTCACGAACGTGCGACGCACGAAGCTGCGCCGGAAACGCAGGGCGCGACGCCCGCAGCGCAAGGCACCGTGAGTCAGGGCGGTGCGGAGCGCACAAAGACGCGGGCGGCGGCGACGGGGACCGGCGGGTCGCCGCCTGGATGGCAGCAACCGAGTTACGAGTGGTCGGCGAATCTGTACGAGGAGCCGGCGGTCGACTGGGACCTGCCACCTATGGGCGATTCGGGCGATTACGTGACGCTGGGCGACATCCGGCGCGCTGAGTCGACGGTTGAGGGCATGGGTGTGCCGCTGAACGACTACATCGAGGCCGTGAAGCGGGAGCGCCGCGGCTCCGACCGCTTTGCGCAGCGCCCGCCCTCGCCCCGTGATTCGGGCAGCGGCTTAACTTCGGGCATGGCTCCAGGTGGCATGGCTTCAGGCGTCATGGCTCCAGGCGGGATAGGTCCGGGGATGGCCCCGGGGATGGCGACTGGGTTACATCCGACGACGGAGACAGGCGGGCCGAACCCGTTGGCGCCTGGTCGACATGGTGTGGACATTGGGCGACAGGACATCTTCTTCAGCGAGAGCAATCAATACGGCGAGTCGCGGTTCATGCAAATCTTTGAGCGGAATAAGAGCGGGACGCGACTGAACGGGAACGCGAAGCCTTTCTACCCCCGGTTGGGCGGAGCGGCCGCGTCGGGCGGCTACGACGACCCCCGTAAGTACGCGCCTTTTCTGCAGCAGCAACGAAGCGAACCGGGTGAGTTGCTTTCGAGGCCGAACGCAGGCAAACAATATACCGACCCCTACGGCCACATGGCGGGCGGCATGGCGACTGGCAACATGGCAACCGGTAACCACATGGGGGGCAACTACAACATGGGTGGTAGTGGCTTAGGCGGTAGTGGCTTAAGTGGCAGTGGTCTTGGAGGCGGCAGTGGTCTTGGAGGCGGCAGTGGTCTTGGAGGCGGCAGTGGCCTTGGAGGCGGCGGCGGTTTCGGCGGCGCAGGCGGCGGCCGGTTTGATGCAGGTCCGGTGAGTCGGTTCGAGCCGCCGGGTCGGTTCGAGAACGGGCGGTTCGAGCCTGCGCAGCCGCAGCAGGGGCCCGGACCGAAGATCACGACGCAGCAGTTGGTGCAAATAATCCAGAACATCTCGAAGAACCAGAGTGCGGCGGACCTGTCGGACCGGCAGCGGGAATTGCTGCAGCTGGCAGCGGCAAAGATCCGGCACCTGCAGCAGCAGCAACAGTTTAACGTGGCGCCGCAACCGCAGCAGCAGCAGCAGCCTTTGCCGCAGCAGTTGCCGCAGCAGTTGCCGCAGTTAGGACAGCCGCAGGGGGGCGCCGTGAACAACGCTCGTAAGGGACGCTCCCACCTCCTGCACCGCCATCCCAGCGCACGCACCTAGCGCCGTTTTAGACATTGACCGCGTGGCCGTGATTACGGACGCGCTCCAGCGGACGCTGCGCCAACAACAGGCCAAGGGCGTGCAGCCGACGGCATCGCAGAAGCAACTTATCGCCCAGGTGCTGCAGGCACTGCAGCGGCTCAAGGAACAACGCGGGCAAACCGCACCTCAGTCTTTCAGGAACAAAACGGCGAACGAAGCAAAAGAAAATGTGGAAGAAGAATTATGATTTTTCCTGCACACCATGATGACCACCTCCGAGATCCACGTGGACGGCTCCGTGGTGGAGGAGGTCGACCTCAACAAGGGGGACCAGGACACGGCCCCCCTCCACGAGAGGACCGGAAGCAACGAGGTTAAAAACCTTGACAAGAAAGAGGTCCAAGTCGGGCTCTTCAAGGGGTTCGTTTTATCACACACGACGCGGCACAACGAGTTTGCCACGTCCCTGAGCAACAAGACCGTTTTTTCCATGCTCCAGAGTGAAGAACTGCACAAGTGGAGGCGCGACGCCGGTAAGCAGCACGTCCTTTCGGTGGTTCACCCTCCAGGCTGTTGGCCCTCGAGGCTGTTGGCCCTCCAGGCTGTTCTCCAATGTCAGTTCTTGCAGATGGCAACTCATGGTTGTTGCTGGGGCATCGAGGAGCTGTGGTGGGTATCCCTAAACTGGAGGTGTCTTGGGAGGTGGGTGGCGATGTGGGTGTGCTGGTGGTGGATGCACGGAGGGAGTGTCTGTTGTTTTTTGATTATTTCTGGTTATAAAAGAATGGCTTGCGCGAAGTGTTGTCGACCTCGGAATGATTTGGGAAAAGTGCTCAAGTGCATGCCTCTGGCAGTTTTTGCGTTGATCTTCGGTTTTGTTCAAGCGGCGTATCCGATCATTACGATCGTGAGTGTGCATAGAGCGGGTCGTGAGTCGGATGCTGCAAGTATAGTGGCCTACATCTTTGCTGGACTGCAAATCCTCGTTGGTATCTTCATCATCGCGAGCGTGCTTTTCAAATGGCTGCCTGGACTCCGGATTATCAAATCCAGTAAGGAGCCCGCGCTGCATCAGCAACTGTTCGTTCTCCTTTCAGTCGGAGCCTTCTTACTCTTTTCATGGGTAATATACATAGCGGTCGAGATCATTGTGTTCGTCTGCCGTTATGAGGGGGTCGGCGCAGATACTAAATGGAATCCCAAGCCAACCGACTGGTCTCTACTCGGCTTAAGCCTCTGTAAGCACGGCACTACTCCAGCGGTACTACTCCAGCGCCGCGGGGTCACCTCGGTGAATAGAATAGAATAGAGCTGCTATTCTCTCACTTTCAGTTGTGATGCTGCTGTGTATGATCTGCACCTGGTATCTCGCCTCGTCTGTGGCGTCTCTGGTCATGGTCATTGAGTGCGGTGGAAATGGATTCGAGGGTCTCAGCTACAAACAGCTCAAAACCGGAGTTCAGGGGAAAGCATTCGCGGAACACCTGTCGGATGAAGGTACTATTTCAGATGACACCGATGACCCGGGACTTATCTAGGAAACTCGAGATTTACGATGATGTATACTTACAGCGAAAAATGAAGAAAGAGACGCTAATCAAGATCATATAAGTATAATAGTACGCGAATAAGACTTTTTGTCCTGTCTCCGAATCGTTAGTGCAAAGAGATGTTGATTCAAGCGGTATTGTACCCCTGATCATTTTCTGGAGCGAACTTCGGAAGAAGCACACGTGTGTGCAGCCTGCATTCTTGCGCTGCTGATTCCTCCAACGGTATTAAGGTTTGACTAGGTGTGACCACGATCAGGTTTGATTAGGTCTGGATGAGTTTCTAGGTGAACGACATCCTCGATCATCAGGAAGCGTGCTGCCAGGTGACCGAACAAAAACAGGTTGAACCATAGAAGGATTGAAGGGACACCTATTAGGTATTGCTGGTGTATATAATTGCCCCAATAGTCAGTGAAAACTTCGTCAGGTTTTATACGTAGTGAGCGCTTGCTTGGAGAAGTTCCATTTTTGCGAAAAACGCGATCTGGCATGTTGGTTGTACACGCGTGGTTACAAAGCCCAAACAGAAAGCTCTGTCTAATAGTCTCTGAGTCTGTGTCTGCGGTCGTGTCTGTGCCACCAGACGAGTATGCCGCACGGAATGCCGACCACAAGAACGGCCGAGAGTGCTAGCTTCTGTTTCGTCGACCGGCTTAACGGCCACCACCGGGACTGCTGGGCGAGCTGTATGTTGACCACAGCGGCGCTCATCAGTCCGGGTACCTCGTGAGTGAGGTATCGGCGTTCAGCTTCCGATAGGTCCCTAACCGACATGACCCTCAGTGTGGTCCCCGGTGTGACCAACCCGGTCTCCTCCGACGCTTCCGCCGTCTCCCCCGATGTCGGTTCGAGCTTTTCCGGCGTTGGGGCAAGGTCAGGCAGGTCCGTTCCGAAGACCTCTGTACGCACGTCTTCGGCCCGCGTAGGATCGACGCCGATTAAGAGCTCCTCGAGCGCCAGGCCCAGCGTACGCACGACGCTCAGGCAAGCCTCCGGCCGGGTATCGCCCGGACGGAAAAGGTGAAGCCGCGACCAACCCTTCAGACAGTCGTACCCTGGACCCGTGCTATTCTGGAACTGTTCGGGCAGCGCCACCGCCAGCGCCTCAATTGCACTCACGTCGTCCGTTAGAATCACCATCTTCTGGACACAGTTCGCTATCGGCTCCCGCGAACCGTCCGGACCCACAATCAAAGCCAACAGCCCACTCAGAAATACACCCTCGTCATTCACACTAACCGGCGCACGCATCGGAAATTTAAAAAAGTCTGTGCACATAACGGCGGTGACTAGTACTGCTTGGTACGGCAACCAAGTACAAGATTTTGTCTTTCCGTGGGTTCACTCACCAAAGGTTTGTGTGTGCGCGTGGCGTGTTGGGGGATCCGTTGCAGGTGTGTTTATGGTAATCATTGACTTGCTTTGCGTAGGGGTTACACGGGAAAAGGTTCGAAAAGGTTCTTTCTAAGAAGAGTTAGTGGAGGGGTCATCTTCCTCGGCATCACCTTCCTCGGCATCGTCAGGCGTGGTGACCTCTCTGAGAGGTTCGACCAACTGCAAGCTGACGGGGCCGGATGAAAGCTTGACGGCCTTGATGCAAGTGCCGTACTCGGCAAGTTTGTCCTTCATGGCCAGGATAGCGGAGACAGCATTTTCCATCAAGACCTCGTTCGGTCTGTCCAGACAGCCGACTCTGACGCCGGTGGACGGCGCTGCCTTGATTCTATATGAGGTGTGGGCGTACGCATTGAGGAACCGGGTGTGGATGGGTTCGTTCTCTTCCAATCGTACACTCATGGGTTGCTTCCATGACTTGAAGAAAGTTTGGCCCAAAAATACGTTGGCCTTTTCGATAAGGTCCTTGTCACAATAGAATGTGTCGTATGTCTGAAGCAGCTCCTTGCGCAGGGCGGGAGTGCTAAACTTCTTTTTTAACTTGTCCAGCTCAATTACTCGCGCTACCATCGGTAACTTACCTTCGGCCGCATGCTCGGTCGCCAACTTGTCCTTCCAAAACCGCTGGGGCGACTTGACTATCAAACAGGCGCTTTCGCCCACATTCACCGGATGCGGCAAGCTCAGTTTCCGTCGTCGCGTGTCCTCCTGCGATGGACACACGTCAAAAAACAACTCCACGAAAACTTGGCGGCGCTGTTTCACCAGCGCGTCCTCGTCCTGCACCTCGAAGTAATGTCGAAGGGCGTCCAAAACTTCATATCCCAACAATTCCAACGCCGTCCGTGGGCTCTCAGACTTCACCTTGCTCTCAGACTTCACCTTGCTCTCAGACTTCGCCTTGCTCTCAGACTTCGCCTTGCCATCAGACTTGACCACGACCTCCTTGGCCTTCTTCACAGACTTCACCGCAGGCTCCTTACGTACCTTGCCTGCATTCACACACTTGGCCACAACTTTATTCTTGTCGGCCACAGTCTTATTCTTCACAGTCTTGGTCCCGGACTTGGCAGTCTTCCCACCCCCCATGTTAACAAAAAAAAATGCCGGACTTGGGAGGGGCTTTTTTTGAGCCCCCAAGGTCTTCTTGAGTCCCCTGGTTCTTCTCGATAGGTTAGCAGGGAATATGGCTGAGGCGGTTGGACGGGTACTGGTTGGACGTAAAAAGGTTATTACTCGAGTAGGGCGAGTGCGTCCTTGATGTCCTGGGGGGCGTTGTTGACGACGGCCTCGCGTTTAGCGCGGAACTCAGCCTGGGTTTCCTGTTTCTTGACCCAGTAAGTTTCGCCGGCTGCCTTACGTTTGGTTTCGAGGTGTTCGACGTTAGAGGCGTAGCGCCAGCCGACAGAGGTGGCGAGGTCGCCAAGGCGAGTGGTGGGCATGGTGTTCATGATGCGGATGTTCTTGAGGGCATCGGGCACGCAGACCTTCTTGGCCTTCTCGAGCTTGGTGGGGCAGCCTTCGAAGGTATGAATGCGGGCAAGAGCACTGGTGCCACGCGCGGTTTTATGGGGCAACATGCCACGGCACACGCGCTTGAACATCAACGCTGGCGAACGGTAGTGGATGTGCGAGTGCTTGCGCGGGTTAGAGTTCGAACGCAGGTTCATGAACTCCATAAACTTCCGCCGGTTCCGGTACAACGGACCCGAAATGTGCAACTCCTCGCAACGCACCACCGTAATCTCCGCGCCGGCCAACGCCTGCTTCGCAATCGTCGCAGCCAGCCGACCCACGAGGTGACTTTTACCGTCAATCACAATCTGCAATACACACCATAATCACGTGCCACTCACGACACACACCCCTGCCACTCATGACACACACCCCTGCCACTTATGACACACTCATGACACACACCCCTGCCACTCATGACACACTCATGACACACGTAAGCCCGCCCCACCACCACCCGCTAGCCTTCGCGCAGTGCCCCCCGCATCGCCCCATGTCTTACCTGCTTCCCTGCCATCGCTTGCAGCTCGGCGCTTTTTTCGGTTGCGAAAATTATCTCCCTGTTCTGTCTCTGCCCGGGCACGAAAGCTTTCTGGGTTAAGTCTTGGCACTTAGCGGGCCTCGGACAGTCCGGCTCTGCCGCCCCGATGGCCCCTCCCCCGCGGCCACGGCCACAGGCTTCAACGCCGCCCCTGCTTATTTTCTAATGGGTTCCTTGGCCGAGTCTTTCTTGAAAGACCTGGACGAAGACCCTGCCTCTAGTGAGGACTCAGACTCAGATTCAGGCAGCGACCCAAGCAGAGGGGACTTAGGCCGGGCTGGAAACAAGGGCCCAGGCCAGGCCGGAGATGGGGACCAAGACAGAGGCGGGGACAGTGTCGAGAGCCCGCTCCAAGTCGCCTGCGATGGGGACCAGGAGCGAGCGGAGCAAGATGGCATGGGCGCCCGGCGTTCAGTCGCCTTGTTGGACTGCATAGTGCTGAAAGAAGAGCGCCCCTCCCAAAAGCTCGAGTCTTCGGCCCGGCCGGAGGAAAGCGAGGCCTCCGGGGCCGGCGCGTTCCCTGGCCCGCCTCGAGTGAGTCGTTTGCTGGACGACGCGGAGTTTCGTGCCTTCGTCGAGTCGCAGCAGGCGGAGCCGAACGAGGATTCCCCGGCGCTGAAAGACTTCCTGGAGCTGAAAGAGTCACCTCCCACGCGGGAGACTTCCTCCCCGGCGCGGGAGGCTTCCTCCGAACAGGTGGGGGGTTCCTCGCAGCGAGAGGAAGTGAGTGCGTTGCAGCGTTGCAACGAAGTGCTGCAGCAAATTGACGCCGAGATTCTGTTGTTGTACCGGTGGGTGCGGGAGGTGTATGGGCAGAGATTCCCAGAGTTGGAGTCATTGGTACCGATCCCTTTGGACTACTTGTTTGTTGTACGGTCGTTGGGCAATTCTCTGGACCTGACTGCTGTGGACTTGGGTGTGCAATTGAGCAGCGTGTCAGTGTTGGCGGTCTCCGTCGCGGCCTCGGTGTCTTCAGGGCGACCTTTACCTGAATCGGCAGTGACCGCAGTTTTGGCCGCCGTTGCCGAGGTGGACGAGTTGGTTGCAGCGAGGACACAACTCCTCAACCGCATCGAGCAAGCCATGGCGAGCGTCGCCCCCAACCTGACCGCCATTGCAGGCGCCGCGCTCGCCGCTAAACTGGTTACGCAGGCTGGTGGCATAGAAGCCCTCGCTTCCATGCCTTCTCAGAACCTTTTGGTCCTTGGCGGGTCAAGCTATGCCCGCGCCACGCGAGCCGTGACCGCCGGCAATGGTAGTGGCGGTAGTACTGGCACCGGTGGTAGTACCGGCACTGGTCAGTCCATTGGAGGTGCGGCGACGGCCGCTTTGCCGGAGATGGCGCGGCAGGCAGGCCGCGGGTACGGCGTCATCTTCGAGTCGGATGTGGTCCAGGCGACCGTGCCAGCCTACCGGGGACGCGCGATGAAGCTAATGGCCGGCAAGTGCGCGCTGGCCGTGCGCAAAGACGTGCACAACAATGATGGCTCCATCACCGTCGGCCAAGCATTGCGGGAACAAGTGCTCAACTCACTCAAGAAGATCCAAGCGCCGCCTCCTGCACGACTTAAGAAACCTTTGCCGGTACCAGAAGAACGACCTAAGACACGCCGTGCCGGACGCAGGAAACGACGCTTCAAGGAAAAATACGGCATGACAGAGTCCCGTAAAAAGGCAAACAGACTTCTCGTAACGATCGAAGAAGGGCAACCAGAAGAAATCGACGACGACGCAGAAGACGACATCTTCTGACGTGCTGACCAGTACGTGCTTGTGACCCATTGCGTGCTTGTGACCCATTGCCGGTCCTCGGGAGCTGGCTTGGACGTGGCCATCTCCTTAAGTAAGCTTGGACGTGGTTTGGCAGGGTCAGAGACAGGGAAGCGAATGAGGTCAAAGGGGAGTGAGTCAAAGGGTCGATGACTGGTCATTAGTATTGGTCACCACCTCTGGGCAAAAATATACACAGCCGAAGCAACGGTCCACTCGATCACTTCCTGTGGACCACCGGTCCAGCCGCAAGTCCACTTTGTGGCTTAATTGTTCAGAGCACAATTGTTCAGAACAATTGAGTTCAATAAAATGCGCCCCAGAAATGCGCTACGCAAAGTCGCCTTCACGATCTAACCCCTCCAGGAGACTGTTTCACGCCAGCCTCGCCGGGCTCTCACCTCAACTTTGCTTACTTCCTTGCAGAACCAACAATAATGTTATTTATGGGTATGAAGGCGAGCCGAACAAAATAGCCGATGAATCCCATCGTCAGCAGCCCTAGAGTACATGCTCGGAGCATTGCGTGGTATTCTAGAACAGGGGATATGGGTGCCCGCGTCCCGACGGTGTTGATAACCCAACATGCGCACTGGTGTGCGATGCGCGACTGCGCACTGGTGTGCGACTGCGCACTGGTGTGCGACTGCGCACTGGTGTGCGACTGCGCACTGGTGTGCGACTGCGCACTGGTGTGCGACTGCGCACTGGTGTGCGACTGCGCACTGGTGTGTTAAAGTCAATTACCTTTAGCATCGGGTTTGTTGCATTTCCTGAGAAGCCGTATTCCGTCTTGGGCAAAGTCTTCAATTACTTTGTTCAGATAGCCAACAGGGTGGGTAGGGTCAGAAAGCATGCCAGACTTCATTTCGTCTAAAAATTCAATTGGGAAAAAAGGGTCTTCAATCCCTAGTCATAAGCCGATATATGACGGCGAAAAAGTGCAGTGACACGACCGTCATCATGAACACCAGACTTGAAACCACGACCACGATGGGCGATCTATAAAAGAGAGCTTTTTCGACGGCGCTTTTCGGTTGAGGAGATCACGAGTGTGGTCTTACACTTGGTTGCCTTGGATACCCTCGGCGTAAACGTTCGATAGAGCGTCGACGGCGCTCTTGGGAGCGGCGATATATTGGCGGCGCTGTTGGACTTGGGGACCGGCCTGCAGAGCACGAAATAAAGACCCAGAAGAGCTTGCTTACCATTTTCTGTATGAAGGAAAAAAAGAAATGCTTGGGGCGCTTGGGAAGAATTTGACGGAGGCGGTAAACAAGCTAAACACAGGAAATGTCAATGAAGAGGTAAGTGAGATGAGTACAACTCACAGGGGCAGCTGAGTCGCTGTTAAAGGGGCAGCTGAGTCGCTGTTAAAGGGGCGGCTGAGTCGCTGTCAAAGGCGGGTGTAGAGGTCCTGTCCAGAGACAACAGTGAGACGTCGAGGGTGGTGTGGTACAGTGGTTTGTGGTAGGTGATCCAGAGTTTTATAAAGTCTGTTGCGACGGCATTGATCGAGGCGGATGTGTCGATTCATATAGTGAAGCGTGTGCGTGACAATTTGCGAACGAAAGCCAGCACGTTATTGGATTCATCGAAGAAGGTAGCTAGTCAGACGGTGAAGAAGACATTGACTCGTGCATTGGTTGAGGAGATAACAGCGGTGTTGACGCCTCCGACTAAAGCTTATCGTCCGGTGAAGGGTCGGTGTAATGTGGTGATGTTTGTGGGGTTGCAGGGTGTTGGTAAAACGACAACGGTTTCGAAATATGGGTTGTACTACAAGAATAAGGGATTCCGTGTGGGTGTTGTGTGTGCTGACACATATCGTGCCGGTGCTTACGATCAATTGAAGCAGAATGCAGCTCGTTGTCGTATACCATTTTATGGTGACCCTTCGTTATTAGATTCAGTGGAGATTGCATTTCAGGGTGTAAAGAGTCTTCAGAAGAAAGCGGGATTAGATTTGATAGTAGTGGATACAAGTGGTCGACACAAGCAGGAGGACTCTCTGTTCCAAGAAATGATAGAGATACAAGCAGCAGTCAAAGCAGATGCTTGTATCTACGTGGTGGATGCACACATCGGTCAAGCTTGCTACGACCAGGCCAAGGCGTTTAGGGAAGCGGTGAATGTGGCTTCCGTCATCCTGACTAAGATGGACGCAAATGTTAAGGGAGGTGGTGCACTTTCTGCCGTAGTCGCGACTGGTTGTCCTGTGGCGTTCGTGGGTTTAGGTGAAGGCTTCGTCGATTTCGAACCCTTCGATGTAGATCGGTTCGTCGCGAGACTTCTAGGAATCCACGACCCCCAAAGCCTGCTGAAAATTGTTCACGAGGAAATGGGACCAGGCTCCAAGGACGCCGCCAAACGATGGGCCAAGGGTGGCATGACTTTCGAAGATATACGAAAACAACTCAATATGATGACCAATGTTGGAACTATGGGCTCTATGCTATCTTCCATACTACCCGGCGTAGACTCTAAAGAACTCCTAGCCGGAGGACTCCCAGACCTCAAAGTCTTCATCGCACTTATAGACGCCATGACTCCTAATGAACGCACAGGCCAAGTCAAATTATGCGATAGCCGCCGACTTAGACTCGCTAAAGGCGCCGGCTGCCAACTTGTCTATGTCGACCTACTCATCAAACTACACGCAGGCATGAACAAAACCTTTTCCAACGTCGGCAAACGCATCGCCAAAGCAAAACGTATGAAATGAACCAAAGGGGGGGAATGTCCCGGAGGG